ATGTGTCCAGGAATATGTTCACTCATCTGTGAGGTTCTTCAGCCTGAGCGCGTGGAAAGTGACCTGGAGCATGGTGGTGGTTGGGTAGTGGAGGTCAGCTTCTGGGACTGGGTCCCTTGGGGTAGGGAGGACTCTCACTCGCTCCTCTCTGGGGTGCCCCAAGTGAAAACAGCCTGGTGCAGAGTCCAGTGGCACAGTTATGGGGGTTTCATTTTATGCTCACTTCCGGGAGAAGTAGCCGTTGAGTTCTGGAGGGTGGCCGGCTGATGAGGAGATTATCTGACAGTGGCAGGAGGTGGCTTATGGGTGTGACCCCTGTGTTGCCAGAGACTGGGGGAAGCAAGCAGAGGATCTCTGCTCCTGGGTCCTGTTGGGCCCAGAGTCCAAGGTCACAAAGTTCCGCATTACCTGGGTTCCATGGAACTTCACTCATGTGTGAGGTTCACACACACACACACACATATATATTTGTGTGTGTGTGTGTGTGTGTGTGATATACAGGGGACCAGGGATATAATAGAGCAGGTATGGCTATCATAGCCAGGTTGGATTGTGATCTGGGTTCAATCCCCACCACCCCATGGGGTTCAGGCATGCAGCCAACTTGGGTTGGATACCCACTACCACTTGACCCCCTGATGTTGTCTGTAATGCCCCCTGCCCTCCCTCCAGCACAGAGAGAGCCTGGAGTAGCCCCCAGCATCTCCAAGCGTGACCCAATCCCCTCAAAAAGCAAAGTTCTTGTGCTAGGGATAAGGCTCAAATTGCTGTGTACAGGCTTTGCATGCTGGAGGTTGGGGTTCTCTGAGCACTTCCGGGAGTGACCTCCAAGGACTCTATAGGGAATAGAGAATAGCATGGGCACTGCTGAACCCCTCCCGCCCCATGCCATGCATTATTTCCCCTAGAAACACATGAGTAAGTTCTTTTTTTTAAATTTTATTGAATCACCATGAGATACAGTTACAAGGTTTCATGTTTGAGTTACAATTATTCAATGTTCAAACACCCATCCCTCCACAAGTGCATATTCCCCACCACCAATCTCCCAAGTATACCCCTCCTTTCCCACCCTCCCCCTGCCTCCATGGCAGACAATTTCCCACATACTCTCTCTACTTTTGGGCATTATGGTTTGCAACACAGAAACCGAAATGCCATCACTTTTGGTCCTTTCTCTACTTTCAGCACACATCTCCCATCTCGACCAATCCTTCCAATCATCATTTTTTAGTGATCCCTTCACATGAGTAAGTTCTGATGATGGTAACTTAATTTCCAGTTTCTATCTCCAATTAAAGTATTTGTCTCACACATGGCCAACCTATTTGTTCCCTGGCCCTATATATGGAGGATGCTCAGCCCCTGTCCGAGCAGGCTTGGAGATCTCAGCCCCGGCACCCGCATGCCTTTGTTCCTCTGCCAGTATCTTCATGCGTGTGGAGAATGGTCTCAGCATGGTTGTGGCTGGTTCCGGAGGTTTTCAGCTGCCAGGGCTCTGCTCGGGGTGGGTGGTGGGGGAGAGAAACTCCACCCTCCCCCCTCCAAGGGGCCCCGGAGAGGACAGCCAGGTGCGGGGGCAGGAGACTCTGTACTGTCCTCTTCCAGGAGCTGGGTTTTGTAGTCTCTGGGTCTTGGCCATTGATGGGATTACACAGCACGGGGGTGGGTGTGGGGGTGCAGTTGGTGGGTGTGACCTCGGCCTACTGAAAGATGGAGGATCTGGGTGGAACTGCCCCCTCCACCCCCGCACCGTGTAATCCCATCAACGGCCAAGACCCAGAGACTATAAAACCCAGCTCCTGGAAGCACATGGTGGATTATCTCATTCTTGCTTTGGACAACGTGGCAAGCTACCGAATGTAAACTGCCCACACAGCAGAGTCTGGCAAACTCCCCGTGGCGTACCCAATATGCCAAATACCAGTAACAATGATGAGTCTCATTCTCCTAACCATAAAAGAGCCTTGGATGTGGCACTTTTTAGAATCTCAGGGCTAGAACGAAGGAGACGTTACTGGTGCCTGCTCGAGGCAATCGAAGAACAACAGGATGATCGAACAGCAGGATGATCATGATCATGATCGTGATCTCCGATCCAGTGTGTACATTTATTATATTTGGGGCACCATGTGTATTGCTTCAGATCTGTTATCCTAAATAACTTTCACACAACTTTCTGTTATCCTAAATAACTATCTTTAAGGGAAATTAAGAAAACAGAACTTGAGTAAATTCTCCCAAGATCAGAAGTTTGGGCCAGATTTGGTTCCAGGCTGTCTGATTCCAGACCAGTGTGTGTAGACATGAAACAATATTGTCTCTCCAGACCTGTCTGCTTCAAAAAATACAGATGCTTGTGGCCCACTTCCAGGGCTTGTGAGTAATTTGGACATTTGAACTGTGACTGGAAGCCTGGAATTTAAAAAAAATTTCCCAGGTGGTTTTAACAGGCAGCCAAATTTGTCAACCAATGTACACTTTGTGTAAGACATTTGCTAACAGTCACCTGAAAGCTATTTCAGCCTGCAAATTAGTGAGATTTTATCAAAAGCATGTTTCTTTATGATCAAAAGCTGTGCTGTGGGATAAATTATAGCATGAAAGGATAATGGGAAAGCGCATTACCATTCATATTATCAGTCCTTGTAGAAGTGTTTATTAAGGATTGATTCAGTATTATATTCAGTCTCTGGACTGTGTATGTATATTTTGGTGGGGGCAGGAGATAGGGTCACAAGTTAACAGTGTTTGTGCTCTGCTCCAGGCTCTGCACTCAAAGCTTAGATGCTTGGGGTTAAACCAGGGTCAGCCGCATGCAAGACTAGCACCTTAGGGACTGAAGCAACAGTACAGCAGGTGAGGCACTTACCTTGCATGTGGCAGACCTGGGTTCCATCACCAGTATCCCATCTGGGACCCCCAAATACCACTAGGAGTAATTCCCGAGTGCAGAGCCAGGAGTAAGCCCTGAGCCACCAAGTATGGCCCCAAAACAAAACAAAAGGTTAGCACCTTAACCTCTTGTACTGTCTCTTTGGACCCCTGTGTGTATATTTAAAATTGGCAGCCCAAGCTTGGTTATTTGTTTGTTTTGGGGGGTACACAACCAGCTCTGCTCACGGCTTACTCCTATTCCTGGCTCTGCGTTCAGTGATCATTCCTGGCCATGCTCAAAGAACAGTATCTGGTGCTGGGGATTGAAGTAGAGTCGACCATATAAAAGGCAAGCACCTTAGCCTACCGTACTATTTTCACAGTCTAACCAAGTTTGGTTTTTAATACATAAAAATTTCATGCAGCAAAAGCTGTAACTTCCAAGGGAGGCAGTGCCCCTGAGGCAAGGCTTTTGCAGAGATTTCCCTCTCTCTTGCAAGATGAGTTCAGCCTTTTATAAATTTTTTTTTTTTTGCTTTTTGGGTCACACCTGGCGATGCACAGGGGTTACTCCTGGCTCTGCACTCAGGAGTTACTCCTGGCAGTGCTCAGGGGACCATATGGGGTGCTGGGAATTGAACCCGGGTTGGTCGTGTGCAAGGCAGACACCCTACCCACTGTGCTATCTCTCCAGTCCTAAAATTTTTTAAAATTTAATTAAATTAATTATTTTTTTAAAGTTTTATTTATTGAATCACAGTGAGAACCAGTCACAAAGCCTTTCAGTTTAAGTCTCGGCCGGTCACACAATGATCAAACACCCATACCTTCACCAGTGAACATTTTCCACCACCAAGAACCCCAGTATACCCGCCTCCCAACCATCCCCCCTGCTGGTGTGGCAGATTTCCACTTTACTCTCTCTCTTTACGTAGATCACATTCAATATTACGACAAAAGACCCAACATTATTATTTGGAATTTTCCCCAACATTCAGACCTACCAAAAAGACATTATTAGATAATTTATTTTATATTGCTAATTATGAAGATAATTAGCATATGATGTCGGATTTCTTTTGGATTTCTGATATTTTAGTAATAAGCCTAGAGGGATTATTGCCAAAGCCCCTGGGTTCTGAGATTGATTTGTGAGCCTCCGGGATCATGGTCGTTCAGGAGCCGGAGGAGGCATTTGTGGGTGGCAACCCAGGGACTGGTCAAGCCTGGGAGAAGGGTCGATTCCATCCCCCATCCCACGAGACCCCGTGTGCCTTGTGAATGCAGTCCCATACCTGGCTCTTCATTAGACTCCAAAAGATGAGGGCCACCATGCCGCCGCCGCGAGGGGGGACAGGCGGAGGGACAAACACCCTTCCCCTCCCAGGGTGGCATAGCATCGTAGTTAAATGTACAGTCCAGATTGCATTTTGGTTGGCCATTATAATTTGCTCAGATTTTCCCACCACCAGCTGGAAGCCTGCCTTCCAGAGATAGACACTAGATCAATTTATTTCCATTGCTCACTTTGCGTATCAGGAAATGCTGCACGGCTACTTATGTGGCCATGTGGTTTGGAAGAATAGTCCTCGTGCCCACATATGGGAGCCATGATTGTAGAAGTTCATGGTCGCCCGGATTCCACCTGGAGAAGGCGGCGAGGAGACAGCACCTACCCCATCTGGGAACTCTCGGTCATATCAGCTCACCCTCATTATGGGGCCTGGAGAATTCTCCGGGAGTTGTGGAGCCCCCCGGCTAGTTTTCTTCACTGCTGTGTCGAGTTTAGCCTTAAGAAGTAGTATGGACTGGAGAGAGTAGACAGTGGGTTGGTCAGAGGGCTTATCTTGCACGTGGCTGACCAGGGTTGAATCTGAGCTCTACAGAGGCAGCCTGCCAAGAGTGATCCCTGAGCACAGCCGGGAGCGACCCCCAACCAAAACGAACAAAAGTATTTAATTCAATTTTCCTGTGGGTTATTTTGGTGCATGGTTGGCATTTTTCATCTGCCTATTCTCCTACTTTCCTTAACTCCTTTCTCTGATTTGTGATGTCTTTATTCGTGTCTCTGATTCTTCTTGACTAACTTCTTTCCTTTCTTTTTTTCTTTCTTTCTTTTGCAGATGTTGGTCACTCTGAGTTCCCAAGAAAAAGGTAAGATTATATATAGTTACAGTATTATTTTCCCAGACAAGTGGGCCACCTATCCCTATGGGAAGATTCAACATGGAGCATTTGAAGTGAAACGCTATCTTGGGGGTTATGAAAGAAAAAGTTTCGTGTGCTTTTTCTTGGTTATAAATGCCCTTTTCTAATAACAATTCCTGGGGGGGGGGGGGGGAGGACGAAAGATAAATTGGTTAAGAAGTGAGATGTAGGAGGTGTAGGAGACTGAGATAGAGAACTCTGTGTCCACTCAGTATTACATTTGTTTGCTAGTGTACATATTAGGTCTGTATCTTTAAGAAAGATGGGCAAAGAGAAAAAGTTAAGGTGCAGATAGTTCAGCAGATAAGGTACTTGTCTTGCATATGCCAGACCCATGTTCAATCCCCAGCACCCCATTGAGTCCTCTAACCCAGCAGGAGTTGGGGGACCAGGATCCTTGAGTGCAGCCAGGTGTGGACCCCCCACAAAACGAAACAAAAATAAAGTAAGCATTCTGCATTGAGAATCTTATGTTGTAGATTTTTGTGAAGCTCCAAGATGGTGAAATGTTTCACAATATCCCTTTGTGATAATCCCAGCAAAATAACTAAATATATTTCAAGTGTCTTCTATGAAAAAAAACACTGTGTGTGTGTGTGCGCGCACGGGAGTATGTTTGTGGTGTACTAAATTAATTACAGGTTGGACAGATGCTTACTTTTTGGCTAGGAGGTAAGGTATAAGTAAAGAAAAGCACAGAGGGTTCAGGACAATGGTTCATACAGAGGAGAAAAGAAAATGTATCAGTTAATTTTCATCTTTGCTTTTAACAGGTGGGTTAAAATCATTCATATACTCTTGTTTAATCTGTCTACATTTATTGTTGTTATTTAGACTAACTTTCCTTTTTCCTTTTTTGGAGTGGTGGGGTACCATACCCAGTGATGCTCAGGGGTTATTCCTGGCTCTGCATTCAGGAATTACTCCTGGCAATGCTTGGGGGACCATATGGGGTGCCGGGGATTGAACCTGTGTCAGCCACGTGCAAGACAAGCACCCTACCTGCTGTACTATCATTATAGCCCATTTTCCTTTTCTGTTTAGTATGCTTTCTGTTTAGTATGCTTTCTCTTCTTTTAGGCAGTAAGTACAACTACTTTGTTTTATGCAATGTTTGACAGTTAAAATAATTTTTTTCCCACAGGAATTCTAAGTGGCAGATAGGGCAGATAAAATTTTACCAAGAAAAAATGAAATTTATAGAATGTAATATTTTCCCTAATTTGTATAATGACTCAGTAGTAGAACTGATAAAAGTAACATTTTCTGAATATTATCAAATATGCAATTAAAATATCACATTATTTTTTAAGAAAATTTTTTTTATTTTACCAGCGCTTTATTTAGTAATCTAGACCAATAGATTTTCTTCTTTGTCACACAGAGCATGCCACAAAAAGCAATGTTAACTCTTGATCACAAATGTTCCACCTAATACAAACTTTCGGTTCTGGAATTACAACAACGTTTGATATTCTTTTCTTTCACTTGAGTGTGAGCTCTTGAGAAAGACTTCTTTTTTTTAAATTTATGGCTGGTATCTTTATTTTTTTTAAATTTTTATTAGTGAAACACCATGAGGTACAGTTGTAGACTTACAAATTTTTGTGCTTGAGTTTCAGTTATACAATGATTGAGTACCCATCCCTCCACCAGTGCCCATTCCCCACCTCCAATGCTCCCCGAATTCCTCCCACCCCCCACCCCCCATCCCACCCCACCCCTGTGGCAGGGCATTCCCTTTTGTTTTCTATCATGCTAAGTGAAATGAGTCAGAAAGAGAGGGACAGACATAGAAAGATTGCATTCATCTGGGGAATATAAAGTAACAAAACAGGAGACTAACACCCAAGAATAGCCAAGATAAGTATTAGGAGGTTCACTCCATGGCTTGGAGGCCAGCCGCACAGAGTGGGGGAGAAGGCAGCTCAGATAGAGAGGGAAGCACCAAATAAAGGGTGTTTGGAGGATACTCCCAGGAAGGGAGATGCATGCTGAAAGTAGACTATAGACCAAACATGATTGCCACTCAATGCCTCTTTTGCAAACCACAGCACCCAAAAGGAGAGAGAGAATATCACATTATTTTAAATAAATATCACTTACTTATTGTTGAATGAACAAACTCTCCTGCAGTCAAATAATCAGCAAGATAGTTTATACTAAGAAAAACAAAGATTGAAGAGTGAGTTTAAAAATATGTATTATTATTGTTATGCTTTGATTTGATTGGCTAATTTAGTTTGATTCTGTGAGGAGGAAATTGTCATTATCTGTGGAGATATTCATTATCTGTCCCCACTGCCAAGAAATATGTTCTCTTTTTTTTGCTTTTTGGGTCACACCCAGCGATGCACAGGGGTTACTCCTGGCTCTGCACTCAGGAGTTACTCCTGGCAATGCTCAGGGGACCATATGGGATGATAGGAATCGAACCCAGGTAGACCTCACGGTCACGGTCCTCTCATTGTTCAATGATTTGCTGGAGCAGGCCCAGTAACATCTCCATTGGAGACTTTGTTGTTACTGTGTTTGGCATATCGAATACGTCACGGGGAGCTTGCCAGGCTCTGCCATGTGGGCGAGATACTCTTGGTAGCTTGCCGGGCTCTCCAAGAGGGGCGGAGGAATCGAACTCGGGTCGGCCATATTGGCTGTGTGCAATGCAAACGCCCTACCCACTGTGCTATCGCTCCGGCCCTTGGGTAGACCTCATGCAAGGCAAATGCTCTACCCGCTGTGCTATCTCTCCAGTCCCAAGAAATATGTTCTTAAACAAAATTTTATGCCTGATTATTAGGCAGAAAAATATTTTCTGAACCTAAGCAAAAAAGACTAAAGTAATACTGTGTCGACCATTAAAGAGAAAAATCTGAAAAACCCCGCCAATTCAGACCTACAGTCATTTCCAGTGGATTGCTTTGCATCCAAAGTAAGGATTTCCAAACCAGCCTTAGCTATTGGCAAACTATGCGGCAGGCAGCGATGCAATTCTCATTAAAAAATAAAATCCTGCCTTCACGAATTAAATCCTTTAGCCACATTCTTTGATTTCTGCACAATCTCATGATTAGACCTTGTGAGGTAACTCGATACCCCAAGGGACGCCTGCTTTAGGATGAAGAGATGGAGGTTGTAGTGTAGCTATGGCGACACAATCACAACAACAACAACAAAAGTGCTGGCCTTCCGGCCACCACACGCTGATTTAGCAAATGTTAACGAGATTGTTGCTAATTGAGATAACACCCAATTTGAGTATGTGGAGGAGTAAGCTAGAATATTGTCAATAATCTTATATTGAACAGCATGTTTAAAAACAACATCATTTAGCTGGCAAAGGAAAGGTGTGTGTGTGTGTGTGTGTGTGTGTGTGTGTGTGTGTGTGTGCAGCGGGTGGGAGTGGGGTGAGACTCTTGGCCATGATGATGTGATGGGAGCCAACAGCTAAGTAGTTTGGACCGATGAAAGGATAATAAGGTGTTTTGTCTGCAACAGTGGCTTTCTCGTTCCTCCACCTCTGCCCTCCCAGAGAGTTGGCCCAGGCTAGCTCAGCGGGGGCCATGTGATACCTGCATGGCAAAGCCATTCTCCTGTAGAATCGGGATGTAGATTTAATTTCTGGCAATGAACAGTAGTTTTATTGTTTCTAAGCATTAGCGGGCCTGGCTTGGGGGTTTCAGCATATCAATGACACCATAGTTCGCCAGGCCAGGGAGGAATCTTTTTGATGATTCCTGCCCATGCCACCACCTTGTTTTGAAAGTTCTTGGTTGTTGTGCATAAAACAAACTACATTTGTTGCTTAAATAAATTATGGACATTAGAAAAGATGAAGTCGTGAAATTTACATACAAGTGGTACTACGTGGAAAGTATCATGCTAAGTGAAATGAGTCAGAAAGAGAGGGACAGACATAGAAAGATTGTATTCATCTGGGGAACAGAGAGTAACAAAATAGCAGACTAATACCCAAGAATAGCTGAGATAAGTACCAGGAGGTTTATTCCATGGCTTGGAGGTCAGCTGCACACGCTCGAGTAAAGTAAAGTAAAGTAAAGGCCCTCCCATTGTTCATCGATTTGCTCCACCGGGCCCAGTAACATCTCCATTGGAGACTTTGTTGTTACTGTGTCTGGCATATCGAATACGTCACGGGGAGCTTGCCAGGCTCTGCCATGCGGGCGAGATACTCTTGGTAGCTTGCCAGGCTCTCCAAGAGGGGCAGAGGAATTGAACAGCCATGTTGGCTGCGTGCAAGGCAAACGCCCTACCTCTGTGCTGCACACGCTAGGGGAAAAGGCAGCTCAGATAGAGAAGGGAGCACCAAATAAAGGGTGTTGGGAGAATCTGCCCAGGATGGGAGATGCATGCTGAAAGTAGACCGAACATGATTGCCACTCAATTCACCTTTTGCAAACTACAGCACCCCAAAGGAGAGAGATAACAAAAGGGAATGTCCTGCCACAGAGGCAGGGTGGGATTGTGGGTAGGGGGTGGTAGGGATACTGGGATTAGTGGTGGTGGAGAATGGGCACTGGTGGAGGGATGGGTACTCAATCATTGTATAATTGAAACCCAAGCACAGAAGTTTGTAAGTCTACAACTATACCTCATGGTGTTTCACTAATAAAAATAAAAATAATAATAATAAAAAAAAGACAATGGCTTAGTGGCTTTGAGTGTTTGTCTGGCCAGCACGGGGCCACAGTTCCAAGCCCTGGGGCGGTTCTGCTGTTAGGGATCCAGGTGAGAAGGACCCGGAAGAGGAGGGCTCAGTGGTTTAGGAAGTGGGTAGAGTAAATTCGAGGTCCTGAGTGTAATCTCTGGTGCCACTCATGGGTTGAGTGATCCTGAATGCCATGGGATCCCCTGGTGAGAGGAAAAGTAGATTAACTCTTCTGAAGGACATATATCTGAGGGTTCTGGCAACACAAAGTAACATACAAAAGAGAATTTAGAAATACATTTGGTATTTTGGGTGCATCTGCCACCTTATTGTGGGGATTTGGATTCCATTTGACCTTTTCAGTCTACTAAGGCTTATGGTCTTTATAGATTCCCTGTGTGTTTGGGATCTTCAAGCTAGAATCCTTGAGTTAAGGAGCAGAGTTTCAAGAAATAAAATGTGGGTGGTTTCTTGGTAATAAGAAAGGGGGCACTAGAAGATGATAGAGTATGAGACTAGAGTACCATTCTTCCTGCCTTCAAACCTGTATTTTGGGGGGTTTGGGCAACACACACTGTGTTTAGGGGCTACTCCCAGCTCTGTATTCAGGAGGTGCTCCAAACAGTGCTCAAGTGATCATGTGTAAGGGATTGAACCAGGGTTAGTCACACGCATGCAAACACCTTAGAAAGGACAAACCAGTGTTACCCTACATCCCACTGTACCATTTCTCTGGCTCACCTTCCCACTTTCTGGAAGGCGGCTATCACCATTTCATTGGGAAGGACGCTTCTTCCCAGAATGGTCTGTCCACATTGGGCCAGGCTAAATCCCACCTGGCATGTGGACCAGGACTTCTCATAGGAAGATATAATCAACGTCCCTTCAAGTGCCCTGCAAGTGTTAGGGAGAATGTTTTTCCTGGCCACTTCATTTTTTGTACCTCGGAACTCTGAATAATTATCCTGATCTTTCCTTTAGTTAGCTTCTCCAGGGATGAGCTGACATTGATTTGATGAGGCTGGGAGGAGAGCTGACCCTCGAGGTCCTCTCTCCTTGTGACTTGCCTATAGTCAGTGATCTTTGTGATGTTTTCTTATAGCAAGCTTACCATCTCCTGGGAAACTCTTAGTGCTTGATGGGTTTCGAGGAACCCCACTTTTTTCACATTTTTTGAGCCTTACCTGGCTGTGCTCAGGGATTACTCCTGGCTCTGCACTCAGAGACCACTCCCAGTGGGCTCTGGGGCCTGTGTGTGGTGCTATAAACTCAAAAGTATAATAATGCATGGGAAGTACCCTACGTATTGTACTATTTCTCTGGCCCAAGCACACTTTTAATACCATTTTATCAATAACAAAGACTTCATGTTCTCTTTTCCTCATTCTTGTGCCTATGTTTTCTGTTCATTCCTATGTGGTAGGCAGCAAAATATCAATAATCAATAAACAGGTGCAGCGACAAATGCTGTGTGACCTACAGTGACATTGGTGGTCTAACCATCTATGTCAGAAAGGCAATGCTGTGGTAATATAAGTCTCAAATGTAATGCAGTAAAGTCTGTTCCTCCTCCTGTGACAGTCCAGTGTGGGTTGGCTGACCCCTCGAGGTAGCTCTACCTCTCAATGATGCAGTTTCCAGGGCACTGCAATGGGGAGGAGCCATGTGAGGGGTACTCACTCTGATAGGCTTTGCCCTAAGAATGACACCCAACATGTGTGCTGAACTGAGATGCAACAATCCTACAGTTCCCCATAGCTGCAAGAGAGGCTGGGAAATTCAGATCAGCACAAAAATACTTGGTAATAGCAACTGCCTGCTCTAAGCAGAGTAATACTAGGAAAGGCCCAGGGAGAGAGCTCGGGGGTAGAGCACATACCTGGCACACACAGAGATTCCTACCCCAAACATTGCTGGGCATGACACAGAGCCTCCCAGCACTCCTGGAGGTGGGTACTAGGGGTAGCATTATATTTTTGATGAAAAAACTTGGCTTGCTCTTTAAGACCATTTCCCCCCCTTGAACACATATCTCACTTGCATCCCTCTCTGCTTCTTTGTTTTTTTTTTCCACTCTGGGGAACTCATGTTCTCCACGGAATATGTACTTCTCTTTCTCCCCACATTTCTTTCTAAGTAAGCTACTTTTGATAAAAACTACCTTGCTTCACCGATGCTGGCGCAGATGTGGCGAGAAAGGGACACTCCTTCACTGTTGGTGGGAATGTCGACTGGTTCAGCCCTTCTGGAAAACAGTATGGACGATTCTCAAAAAATTAGAAATTGAGCTCCCATTTGACCCAGCAATACCACTCCTGGGAATATATCCCAGAGAGGCAAAAATGTATAGTCGAAGTGACATCTGCACTTGTTTGTTCATTGCAGCACTCTTTACTATAGCCAGAAACTGGAAGAAACCTGAATGCCCAAGAACAGATGACTGGTTAAAGAAACTTTGGTACATCTACACAATGGAGTACTATGTAGCTGTTAGAAAAGATGAAGTCATGAAATTTACATACAAGTGGTACAACATGGAAAGTATCATGCTAAGCGAAATGAGTCAGAAAGAGAGGGATAGACATAGAAAGATTGCATTCATCTGGGGGATATAAAATAACAAAATATGAGATTAATACCCAAGAATAGCTGAGATCAGCACCAGGAGGATTACTCCATAACTTAGAGGCCAGCCGGGTATCCTAGAGGAAAGGGCAGCTCAGATAGAAAAGGGAACACCAAATAAAGGGTGTTTGAAGGATCCTCCCAGGAGAGGAGATGCATGTCGAAAGTAGACTATGGACTGAACATGTTTGCCACTCAATGCCTGTTTTGCAGACCACAACACCCAAAAGGAGAGAGAGAACACAGGGGATTGCCCTGCCACAGAGGCAGGGGGGGATGGGGGGATGGGGGTGGGAGGGATATTATCCATGGTGGTGGAAAATGGGCACTGGTGGAGGGATGGGTATCTGATCATTGTATAATCAAACCCAAGCACAAAAAATTGTAAATCTACAACTGTACCTCATCGTGTTTCACTAATAAAAAAAAAAATTAAAAAAAAAACTAGCTTGCTTCAAAAAAATTTTTTTAAATTGCCAAGGAACATAGTAGGGTAGGAAAGAGGCAGACTAGCTCCAGAAATATTTTTTAGCAATTGAAGTTTTTTTTTCTGAAGCTAGACATTCAGTCTTAAATTTAGCTGTAAATTTCTTGAGAATTCAGTGCTATTAAGCCATGCATAAGTTAATATGCAAAGGGAGAATTTCCTCTTTTAACAAGTGTGATTTCACCTGAGGTCTTCTGGAAAGAATATGCTCTTAGCTTTATAGAATATTTATTGTCTTTATTTCATTACTGATTATCAACAATTCCAGAAGGGAAAATTTTAGATTCACATTTTTTGGGGAAGAGACTTGGGCCACCCGTCTGTGTGAGGGCTTACTCCTGATTCTGTGCTCAGGGCTCACTCTTGGTAGGGCTTGGAAGGATGTATGTGATGCTGGGTTTTGGACCAGATTGGCTGCGTGCAAGGCAAGTACCTTAACCCCTGTACTATTTCTACCATCCACACACACTATATATATATATATATATATATATATATAATAGTTTGAGACTCAACACTTTTCAAATAACCTCAAATAGGGCATGGAGTTTCCCCTCCCCATCAGATGGGATTTGTTCGAGTAGGAGTTGTCAATTATAACCATATTTGTTAAGAATTCTCTTTTGATTAACCAGTGTGTTTTTGTTAGTTCTTTTTCTAGGAAGAGACTACATGATCTTTCTAGACCTAAGAAACAATGGGGAACCCCAGATAGGTAAGGCTCTGGTATACAGACTTGTTTGTGGTGACTGTGGTGTCTTACCTGCCAATGGCTCTGCCTCCAACCTCTCTGCTCAACTGGATTCACTGAAGCCTGTCATCGCTTCAGTTGAGTCAACATGGAAAGACCACTCAAGGTCATTGGGCCTCAAATTTGTCACACTTTGGAGTTGCTGGGGAACCTTTAAGATTGGACAGGTCGATTCCCAGAAATCCTGAGTTTTTCTACAGCTCAGTCTTAGCAATAGAAAAACATTCCAGATGATTCCACTAGGCAGGGGTTGAGAGCCACTGACCAGGGTTTGCTACCACATGCTTGAAAACTGAGTGTACATCCTCCAGGTTCAACTTTGCTGCTTCTACCATCAATGCTCTGCCTAGAGCATTATCTGTTCTTGGGCTCTTCCCTGGGCTGGAACTCTCATCTTTATCCTTGGCTTCCTTCTCTCCTATTTCAAGCCCCAAGTGAAGTCTAATTCCTCCCTCCTTGTATCACCCCCCCCACCCCTGTTGCTTTTTAATTAATAGATTTTTTTGTTTGGAGGGAGATGGGAGGGGTTTGCTGGGGACTGAACCTTGCGAGGCATGTGCTCTACTGCCGAGCCCCATCCCTAGCCTTAGATTTTACTTTTTAAAGCAGATTTTGATTTAGAGAAAATTTGAGCCTAAGTATGGAGTGAATTTAAATCTTACTGCCCACTAGTCCAATTTTACTTATCATTAACATTTTGCATACTGTGGTAACATTTGTTAAAATTGATGAACAGATATTGGCACATAATTAATAAATCTGTAACTTTCATTAGGATTCTCTGTGTTGTACAGTTCTATGGGTTTTGACAAATGCACATGTCATGAATCCCACTTGATAGTATTATACATAATAGTCCATTGTCCTAAAAATTACCTGCACTCGACCACTCGACCTAGTCAGCCCTTCCCTTCTCTTCCTCCATCTCTAAACCACTGCAACCACTGACATTTTGTAGTTTCTGTAGTTTTGTCTTTCTAGGATGTCATATAGTTGAAATCATTTAGTAGGCAACCATGGAAACTGGGCTTTTCACTTAGCAATAGGAATTTAAGGTTCTTTCATGTTTTTAACTGCTCAAGTGCTCCATTATCTATTTTTAAAAAAACATTGAGTAATATTTTATTGTCTTGGTGGATCCAATTTATCTATTTTTCTGTTAAAGGATACATTGGTTGCTTCCAGTTCTTGGCAATTTTGAATAGGGAAATACCTAGAAATACTATTCTGCATGGTATCATAAGAGTATGTTTAGCTTTGTAAACAACTGCTATATTATCTTTCAAAGTATCCATTCCGGTGTCTCTAGTGGCAAATAAGAGCTCTTGTTCCACATTCTCACCAGCATTAGGTGTTACAACATTTCGTATCCTAGCCATTTCAATAGGTACTGAGTAGTGGTATCTCTCACTATTTTCATTGGCCATTCCCTAAGGACATACTCTATATGCTTATTTGCCACCTATGTATCTTCTTGATCTAGTCTCTAGATATCTTGTCTACTTTTTGAATTACTTCTTTTTTTTTTTGAATTTTAGAACTCTGTATATTTTGAATTCCCTGTTCTTTATTACATGCTTGAGACTGACCGTTTGTGACCATTCTTAAGTTGTCTTTTGGTGTGAAGTCTTACAATTGAAAGAAGTTCTACATTTAATGTCCAATTTATCAACTTTTCCTCATAATTGTACTTTTTGTGTCATGCTTAAAATGCATTCTTAATCCAAGGCCACCTAGATTTTTCCATGACATTTTCAGGGCAATTTTTCTGATAGATGTAAAATCTCTGTCTACATTGATTTCTTTTTGCTTATGAATATCCAGTTTTCCAAGCCTCGTTTGCTGAAAGATTATCCTTTCTCTAAAAGATGGTCTTTATTTATTAGTTAAATATAAGAAGAATGTAATTATATGGATTTCTTATTTTCTTTTTCTTTTTTTTTTTGACCCCATGCCTCTTGTGCTCAAGGCTTACTCCTGGCACTGTGCTCAGGGATCATATTAATTTTGTCATTTGCTTTATTTCATCACAATTTTGTAAGTTTTCTTCATGTGTATCTTATACACGTGCTAATAAATTTGTACTAATGTAGTTCAATTATTTCCCATGCTAAGGTTAATGTTGTATTTTTTGTTTCAGGCATTCATAAATGATATATTAATTAGTTGAAAATAGGTATTAATTCTGTACCTTGATACTTTGGTATAATCTAAAAACTAAATTTTTTAAAGATTTATTTTTATACATTAAATATAAAAAGCTTTAAATTCTTTTCTTGATGGATATATACACATATACATTGGTGAGATGTATATATATTGATAAGAGGTATTTTAATGAATATTGATAGAACTGTAAACAATAATACCAGTTCTTGCTCTAAACTCCCCTCCACCCCAGCTTTCTGTGAAACTAGAAGAAAAATGGAAGAAATGTCTAAGTCAGGGAATTGAACTAAGGAAAGTAACTCATCAAGTTCACTCAGTTTGGTGGTATGTGAATTGGGAATTAAATCTTTTTTTTAACCTTTTTTAGTTTTTGGGTCACTCCTGGCAGTGCTCAGTACCAATATGGGGTATTGGGGATTGAACTCAGGTCAGTCTCGTGCAAGGCAAAAGCCCTCCCCGCTCTACTTCCTCTCAGGCTGGGAATTGAATCTTTTTCTATATCCCACAAAGCCCATTACTTTACATGAATCATACCACACTGACTAATTTATAAAAGCATGGTTCCCTTGATAGAAGGAAGATGATTTAAGGCTATTGGAGCAATGTAAGCGAGAAATAATGAAGGCCTATCCTAAGACAGTGATCTTAAGAGAACAAACAGAATAAAGACAGAGATGGACAGAACTTAGAGACAAATAAGTATGAGTCTAAGAGAGAGGAGGAGGAGTCAACTATGATTTCTAGACTTGTCTTTAGAAACACAGTGATAAATACTATCACACTGAAAGGAAATGCCAGAATGGGATATGTTTAAGAGAAAGGTGTATGTGGACACGTGGCATGTTTCTGAGCAACATGCTACATACTTGGAAAACAGAGAGTGCTTGAGAAAACAGGAAGACACTCTTGGAACCATCAGTATTTATTAATAAGACAAATGGAAAAGGATAGAACTCTGGGGCACATGTCACAGTTTAAGGAATAGGAGAAAGAGGCAAGACATCCAGGAAAGTGAAGGCTCAAAAATCAAGGACCAAAATGTATCACGGTCCTCCCATTGTTCATCAATTTGCTCGAGCGGGCACAGTAACGTCTCCATCATGAGACTTGTTGTTACTGTGTTTGGCATATCGAATATGTCACGGGTAGCTTGCCAGGCTCTGCCGTGCGGGCGAGATACTCTCGGTAGCTTGCCAGGCTCTCCGAGAGTGGCAGAGGAATCGAACTCGGGTCGGCCATGTTGGCCGCTTGTAAGGCAAACGCCCTACTGCTGTGCTATCGCTCTAGCCAAATGGTTAAAATAAAATAGATTTTATAAGGAGACATTTAAAGTATTATTTTGATTGGCCAGACTGATAAAAAAAGAAATGAAAGACTGATATCAGCATCAGATATCAACTCACAAGGGAGTAATCCTCGACTATAACATGTATAACATGGACAAAACTGGAGGGGGTCATTCTAAGTGAAATAAGTCAGAAGAAAGACAACTACTGGTTGATCTCACTCCTATGTGGTCTTTAAAGAAACAAAGCAGGAACTGGAGAGATAGTACAGGGGTTAAGGAACTTGCCAAACCCCATTTTAAACCCCCCAAACCACATATGCTCCCTGAGCACTGCCGGGGGCACTCATGGGCACAGAACCAGGAATAACCTCTGAGCAACCCCAAACAAGCGCACAACAGAAAGATTAACAGAACAAATAAAGAAGAGATGTGTTCAATGAAAACAAACCCTTTAGATTCTGGCCACAGAATTAAGACTCGCAAGAGTGGAGGGCAGAGTGGAGTGGGCTGAAAGGGCCCAGCGAAATGGAGTGAAGGATTTGGGCACTGGCTGAGGGCACGTTACGATAACATTGTACCTTTGAAATATTTGATATTTTTACTCTTGTATACTGATGTTGCCTCAATTAAAAGTAAAAGATGGACTTCCATCTTCAAAACATAAAGCAATTAAAAAGGATGAAAGCTACATAAAGTAATTGTTATAATGGAGGTGAGAGTATGATAATTTCAGAGCAAGAGTTCCTTAGATATAGGCTGACAAACACTGTTTATACTTTCTATGAAAATTTGTAGACAAGAAATTTGGCTGTTCAGAAAGGGATAACTGAATACCAAGATCTGAGGAAATCATCGAATTCCTTTATTCTAGAATCAGTGTGTGAGTGTATCCAACTTTGTTGTGTTTTATTGATTCATCAAGTATATATAGTATCAATGATAGTCTATACTCTGGGGTCAAGTCCTTTGATATTTTATAATATAGGATATTAATATAGTTATAATACATAATATTAATCACTTATATATGAAAATGTTAATATATAATAATATTACCATTGATATTTTAAAATCTATTTTAATTCCCTTGATATTTCTAATCATGTGACAGCTAATCATAGTTGATTTAAAAATATACAGTAATGAATCATCTGCACAAGATACTCTTTGACTTGTTGATTAGTTTCTTCTTTTTTTTTTGTGGTTTTTTTTTATTTTTATTTTTTTACAGTTGTAGATTTACAATTTTTTTGTGCTTGGGTTTCAATTATACAATGATCAGATACCCATCCCTCCACCAGTGCCCGTTTTTCACCACCACGACTTGTTGATTAGTTTCTTCTTTACCTTAGAGAATTCATCCCCACTTTTTTTTCTGCACTCCATTGAGCCTTGGCTTTCTAATTTACTTTGACCAAATTACTTGCCTTTTACATAATCCTGGATGCTTTCTGTTCATATTATGTGTTTTCTAATTCCTCCTTCCTTGGAACATATATAAATGTTCCAGCCCCTCAGAATATTTTGTATAGTTACTTGTTTCTCTTTGACTGCCCCTGGGGGACCATTCCCCGTGATTCTCAGGCTTCCTGCTCAGCCAGGACAGTGCTGGAGGAGGCCAGGTGGGACTGAGAATGGACGCCCAGCATGCGTTCCGTCCAGGCTTTGCATTCTCTCCCCTCTGTCTCTTTCCTTCTTTATTTGTCAGGGGAACACTGTCACCCTCAACAGTGTTCAGAGGGCCATCGGGATCACACTTGGACGTGCCAGGGTCAAATCTGAGCCTTTTGTATCGAGGTGCATGCTCCATCACTCGAGATATCTCCCGGGCTCCACATTTTCTAGTTTTTAATGACCAAAATTTTCAGCTTGCTGATAATCACATAAAGTAGCACTGATGATGCTTTGGGAGGCACCTTTGGGACCACATATTATGGACTTAACTGCTTTGAATTTGAAGCAGCAAATAGTGGGTTCTCAGCAATGAATAGAAAACATGAAATATACCTTTTAGCTGGTTTCTAGCACAGCGGGTAGGGCGTTCGCCTTACAAGCGGCCAACATGGCCGACCCGAGTTCGATTCCTCCGCCCCTCTCGGAGAGCCCGGCAAGCTACCGAGAGTATTCGATATGCCAGACACAGTAACAACAAAGTCTCCAATGGAGACGTTACTGGGCCCGCTCGAGCAAATCGACGATCAACGGGAGGGCCTTTACTTACTTTTTAGCTGGTTTCTAACCTCTGACTTCTTTACCTCTCTTCACCTGTAATCCTATCCAAAGGCACCCTTCATCTTTCTCTGTTATTGCCATTGATGTTCTCCTGACCAAATCCTGTTGTCCATTGGTTTTCACCATCACACCCCCCTTTCATATCTAAGTTACATTCACAAATCACACAACACAAATCATCCTGTTATTCGTCGATTGCCTCGAGCAGGCCCCAGTAAAGTCTCTTTCATCCTAGCCCTGAGGTTATATTCAAGGCTCTTTAGGAGAATTAGACCCTTCATTGTTACTGGTATTTGGCATATTGGGTACGCCCTGGGTGGGGAGTTTGCTAGACTCTGCCGTGTGGGCAGGCTACATTTGGTAGCCTGCCAGTTTGTCCAAAGTAGGAATGAGATGATAAGATGATAAGATTCGAGCCGCGCGGTTCCGGGAGCTGGTTTTTATAGTCTCTGAGTCTTGGCCGTTGATGGGATTACATGGCGCCAGGGGGCCAGTTGGTGGGTATGACCCCTGCCTACTGGAATTTGGAGGATCTGGGTGGAGGATGCTCGGCCCCAATCCAAGTAGGCTTGGAGATCTCGGCCCTGGAACCCGCGTGGATTTGTCCCTCTGCCAGTACCTTCATGTGTGCGGAGAGTGGTCTCAGCATGGTGGTGGCTGGTCCTGGAGGTCTTCAGCTGCCGGAGCCCTGGTCGGGGCTGGGAGGAAAGCTCAACCCGCTCCCCTCCAAGGGGCCTCGGCAAGGACAGCCAGGCACGGGGGCAGGAGACTGCACTGTTCTCTTCCATTAGATGCCTTTAAATACAAGCGATGCATTTTTGTTTTGACATCTTCCTTTCCTTGTGTTCCCCATCATGGTGCTTTTACCTCGACCTTTTCCCCTTTGAAGTTTCCGAAACATTGGAGTGCCTGGATTAGACTGGCATTTAGAATATATATATATATATATATATATATATATATATATATATATATATCCATGGTATGGAGAAAAAAAGATAATGGGTTCTGGACTAAGTCAAAAACAATATGGATAAGGAGAAATGAAAGATGTGAACCATGTTTAAAAAATGGAATCCTCAGAATGAAGGTGGTGTGGGATATTAATAAGTATTTCTGGCTTATGCCTTGGGAGCAGAGAAACCAAGCTTCTGTGGAGTATGAAGGTGGCAAATGCTGAATTCCTTCTCCTCCTGCCTTTTCAACAAGTGAATTCAGCAAGTGAATTCAGGCCCAGAAGCAAAGAGACCAGCATCAGGAGATGAGGGAGGGTAGCAATCACTACAGGTGTGGTGCTTGCTCACTCCTGGAGAGACTTCAGGACTTGAGAGAAGGAGGGAGGTGGCATTTCACCCAGCACCACCACTTCTGGGAACATATTCTGCGTCCCTAAAAATGCACAGCAGAAACACCATCTGAACTTCTGTGTTCATTGGAACACTTTTTATACTAGCCAGAATCTGGAAACAACCCGAGTGCCCAAGAACAGATGACTGGATAAAGAAATTATGGCACATCTACACAATGGAATACTATGCAGCCATTAGTAAAAATGGAGTCATGAAATTTGCTTATAAATGGATGGACATGGAGAGTATCATGCTCAGTGAAAAAAGTCGGGAGGAGAGAGACAGATATAGAATGATTGTATTCTCTTGTGGAATATTAAAAAAAAAAAAGGCCTGAAACTAATATTCAAGCACAGGGAAAACAAGCCAGGAGGATTGGTCAGTGTTTGGAGGCTTGCCACAAGTGTGTGGGGATGGAGGGCACATATGATAGAGAAGGCGCCAGTATGACAATAATTGGAAATGAACACTCTGGAAAGATCTGAGTATTAAAAATACAGTGATCTGTATTGCAAACCATAATGCCCAAAAGGAAGGGGAGAAGAGAGTGTGTGTTGGAACATTATATGGCTGAAACCCAAACATGAACAAATTTGTAACAATGTATCTCACTGTGACTCAATTTAAAAAAATTAAAATTAAAAAAAAAAGGAAGGAGGTGGCCACCTGGAGTGTTTGTCACCAGGTTCAGAATGGAGAGGCCGTCCTCCAGAGTGCGGTGGAGCACTGGAGAGTCTAGTTCCTAGTTGAGGTGTTGGGGGAGCAGATGAACATCACATTGCAGAGGCCAGACAGCCAGTGAGCAGCCGGGAATAAGGACTAAGGGGAAGACTCCCTGTGCCCTGGGAATAAAGACTGAGGGGAAGACTCCCTGTGCCCTGGCTGGGACCATCAGACCATGCTTGTTCAAGGTAGGGAATCACCACTCAACCAGTGACCCTCCTCTGGGGGTCAGCTGAAGTTTGAGCATGGGGGCATCACTGGGGCCAAAAAAGATCCACCTGTAGTTCTTCACAAGCAAAGTTCCTCTTGCATATCTGGTCTTGGGGCAACCAGACCCCCAAGTTCTGCACATGCCTGGGATTGTCACTCAGATTGGGGTCCCAACTCTAGCGATTGCAGACTACTCAGAGGAGCAGTGACTCAAATTCCAAAGGCACCAACAAAATCAACGATACCCAGAGGCTTCAGATCACCCTCCCTGTATTGGCCTGTAGAAAGTGGAAGGAGCTCGTAGGAATTATGCAGAGTGAAGTAAGACAAGGTAAAAGACAAGCACTGATTGTGGGCAACCCGAAGCTGAGGTTGCTGGACTGATGGAGCAAATAGAAGACAAGCAGTGGGCATTAAGGGTAGCGCTGAGCTTTAAAGAAGCAATCCCAGCGCTGAGGAGAAGGGCGTGGGATGAGGGTGATAAATTGGGGGTGGGTGTAAAATAATCAAAGGAACAAAATTAAGTAGTAAAAGTTTATAAACAAAAAATATCGATGAATCTGAACACAACAAAACCGGAACTCTTTGAAAGGAATGAGTTGGCAAATTGGATTAGGTTGTCAAGTCAGGTTATTGAGTTATTTTTTCCTTTCAAAGCCTCTTCTGCCTTCCCAGCTCATGTCATCAAAAATATTCGACTTCAGTTTGACTTGTGTTTCTAATGCTCTGTCCAATCCTGGATTATTCCAACTTCTTATTCATACCCTCCCTTGGGTTGGCCCTCATTTCCGGCAGTCTCTCTTATTTTCTTTCACGAATCCTTTTTTTTAGGTTGACCTTAGACTGATTTCTCCTTTTCTCTCCCCCTACACAATAAGCACACCTATTTCCCATGGTTGTTGAGAAATCTGGTGTCTGTAGAGCACTTACTCCAGTGCCTGGCACACAGTAAGTATTCACCAATGGTAACTATACTGTATTATTGCTGTATGGTACAAGGCTTCATTCCAAGTGGGAGCATGAAATATACCCCCATTTTATATTACCCTCCCATAGTATCAATTTCATGCACTCAGAAAGAACTATGTCTTGCTGAGGGAGAGCTCAATAACTGAGCACTTGCAAAGTATGCTACATATGGTCACCTGAGCACCACCAGGAGTGACCCCCTCAGCCCTCCAGGAGTAACCCTGGCCCCCTAATACAGTGCTGGGTGTGGACCCTCCCCACCCAAAAAAAGAAAGAGAAAGAAAATAAACATCTTAAACAGAGTTCTTTTGGGTTACCATCTTTAAGAAAGCCGATTAAAACGTGTATTTTGTTCTCATTTTAACCCCCATAAATCATTGATCTGTTTCTGATGCCTGGAAATGATAAGACTGTAACAGAGGTAGCTGGGAGGTGAATTATATCTGTATCAAAATCATCAAGAGCAATTTCTAGTGATCCAGTGACTATCTTATTGCTTTCTTTTTTTGTTGTTGTTTTATTTAACAGAAGACTGCTTTGGGGTAATCAAGATTCCATTTACCCTGTTTCCCCATTTGCTTTGAAGAGTCATTTGACCAGAAGACTCGAGAGCCTTGCCGAGCCCAAGGAGGTCTCCTACAGATATGTACCTGACAGGTGAGTGGCCCACCCATCAAATCTCTCCATCAGGAAGAAGGAAAAAGAAACTGGAACTCCAGCCTTTTTAAAAAGCAATACATTGTCCAATCTACTAATTTTACTAAGATTAACCCTAATCATTGATCTGTTTCTGATGCCTGGAAATTATAAGACTGTAATGGAGGTAGCTGTGAGGTGAACCCTAATCTTAGGGTTAATCTTAGTAAAATTAGTAGATTGGACAATGTAGCCCTGTAGCACTGTCCTCCCATTGTTCATCGATTTTCTCGAGCGGGCACCAGGTAATGTCTCCATTGTGAGACTTGTTGTTACTGTTTTTGGCATATTGAGTATGTCACGGGTAGCTTGCCAGGCTCTGCCATGCGGGTGGAATACTCTCGGTAGCTTGCCGGGCTCTCTGAGAGGGGCAGAGGAATCGAACTCAGGTCAGCCACGTGCAAGGCAAACACTCTACCGGCTATGCTATCGCTCCAGCCCTGGACAATGTATTGCTTCTAAATGCTTAATTCACCAAAATTATTAACTTCAACTGTGTGTTTGTGGTTTGGGGGCCATACCTGGTGGTTTTGAGGGCATATTCCTGACTCTGTACTCAGGGATCACTGCTGGTGGGCTCAGGAAACCATGTAGAGTGCTGGGGACTCAAACCTGGTTCTAGAGCAGGGAAGGCACTTACAAGGCAAATGCCTTACCTGCTGTTCGATCTCTCCAGCCCCTAAAGTCATTTACTTCTGCAAAAGGTATTATTTCTGTGTCATGGCATGAGGACATGCTTGTGCTATGACTTTAAGTGAAAAACACTTAACATATGATGCTTATGTTATGGAACCATTTATATCTAAACAAAAATCTATTCCCCAAACACACCAAGATATTTATTTCCCATCTCACCATATTTATCTACATACAGCTGTATCTTCTCTCTCTCTCTCTCTCTCTCTCTCTCTCTCTCTCTCTCTCGGTTTTGTTTTGATTTTTGGGCCACATTTAGTGGTTCTATGGGATTACTCCTGGATCAGTGCACGGTTATCACTCCTAATGGTGCATGGAGGACCATGTGTTGCCAGAGAACTCCTGCATGCAGTGTGTGCTTTACCCATTGAGGTACCTCTCCAGCACCCTTCTCTCACTTCAGATGCTGTTTTTTTCTTTTCTAAATTTAATTTTATTTTTATAAAGTTGATCATAATCATTTATTACATTCAATTCCAACACCAATCCCGCCATCATTACAAACTTCTCACCACCATTTTTTCAAATTTTCCTAATCCAAGTGGTCTAACTTAGCTTTTCAGATAAACTTTCCCTGGCTACATTTAGATATAAAAAAGGCTCCCCTAAAAGTCTTTGTCTCTGCTTGCTGCATGTGCCTGAGCACAGCTGGATGTGATCCTTAAAACACCCGAAGAAACAAAACACCAGAATCTTTGCTTCAACCACATGTGCCTAGTATAACTCTCCAATGATCTAACCTCTGTCCCTGCTTATTGCATCCTGTATAGATACGAAAGAAAACATTTGGTTTTAAATGCAACAGAGTTTTCATCAGCATATTTGGGGCCTATTTTAGAGTATGTAATTTATTTATTAAGGAAAAAATTTTATGTGGAAGTAGACTATTAGAAACCTGTGGGTTGGTGAGTAACTGATAGTTGTACCATTTCTAATTTCTCCCCACAAAGAAAAGAACTCAGCATTTAAGGACTTTTATACCTAGACCTGGGAGGGCCAGTGTTAGACTTTACGAAGATAATTTGGATTCATGCTTGTTTTCCTCCTTTTCTCTTCTGCTTCTTGCAGAATTCAGTATAACTTCAGCTGTGGTAGAGATTCTGTCATCTGGGAAATTCCTTCTCCTGCACTGTTTGCTCATCCATCCAAAAGGATCCAGAAGCTCGCACAGCCCAACAAAATCAAGAAAAATGTACAACAAGAGAGGTAGAGTTCCTTGAGAAATTTGGTGAAGTTTACAATTTTGTTCTTGTTTTTTTCCCCAAGAAAGTCCCAGAGTTTGAACCCAGAGCCTCAGACCTATGAGGTATGAACTTTACCACTTACTTAGCTCTCCACCAGCCCCTGTTCATGATGATTACAATGATGTATTATATTTTATAACTTATTTTTATGATAGTTTAGGTAACATGGTTATAATGATGTTAACATGTATGATACTGACGTACAAAGTTATTGCACCTCACCACCAACAAAGTGTCCAAGACCTTACACCACTGACCCTAGAAACTCTAGTCCACCTGTTCATTCCCCCATACCTAGCCCCTCCACTGTTTCGTAATGAGTTTATAACCCATGTCAAGGGTTTGTCATTGAGTGATGCTGTCTGTTCCCTTGTTTCGTTGCTCTGTCTACCACAGACAAGTGAGATCATCCAATACTTACCCTCTCCCCACCCCCTCACTTATTTTGATTAATTATATTAATAATAGAGCAAATTACTGTTCAAATTATTTCATCTTTTATTATAGCTGCATAATATCCATATATATATATATATATATATATCACTGTCATTGTCCTCCTGTTGTTCATTGATTTGTTCGAGTGGACCCAGTAACATTGTGAAACTTGTTGTTATTGTGTTTGTCATATCGAATACATCACGGGTAGCTTGCCAGGCTTTGCCGCACTGGAGAGATACTCTCAATAGCTTGCCGGGTTCTCCGAGATGGGTGGAGGAATCACACTCAGGTCGACCGGGTCGGCTGCATGCAAGGCAAACTCCCTACTCGCTGTGCTATCGCTCCAGCCAAGTTCAATTCCTCTGCCCCTCTTGGCGGGCTGACGAGAGTATCTCGCCCGCCCAGCAAAGCCCGGCAAGCTACCCGTGACGTATTCAATATGCCAAACACAGTAACAAGTCTCACAATGTTAACGGGCCCGCTCGAGCAAATTGATGAACAATGGGAGAACAGTGACAGTGATATATATATATATGCACCATCTTTTTTTGGAGGGGTGGCCCACACCCAGCAATGCTTAGGGCTTACTCTTGCCTCTGTCTCAGGCCTCACTCCTAGTGAGGCTCAGGGGACCATCTGAGGTACTGGGAGCTGAGTCCAGGTCAGCTGCATGCAAGGCAAGTGCCCAAACCACTGTACCTTCCCTCTGGTCCCACTACAACTTCTTTATCCTTTCATCTGTTGTTGGACATTTGGGTTGTTTCCACATGCTTACTATTGTACAATGACTATTGGCTATTGTTCACTGCCATGAACATAGATGTTACTATAGTTTTTTTAAATGAATGTTTGTATGTTTTTGGTATAGATCCCAACCCCTGTTCAGATTCTAGTATATTTGGCTTCTTTTTTTATGTAGGAGTACTGCTGTTTATTCAGCCACTGATTAGCTGATTGAATTGGGCATGAACTCCACCTGACTTTTTTTTTAAATTTTTTATAATTTTTTTTATTGAATCACCGTGAGAGCAGTTAAAAGCTTTTGGGTCTAAGTCTCAATCATACAATGAAACATCTGTACCTTCACCAGTGCCCATTCTCCACCCCCAACAACCCCAGTATACCCTCATCCCACACCCTTCCCCTAGCTGTGGGGCAGATGATTTCCACATTACTCTCTCTCTCTACTTTGATCACATTCAATATCTTGACACCAGAGCCACCATTATTATTTGAGATCTTACCCCAACACTCAGATCTGCTGAAAAGGCAACAGTAGACAATTTGTTTTCTATTGCTGGTTATGAATAACATATGATGTCACGTGGCTGCAGTGTGGCAGCGCAATTTTGAAATTCCGAAATTTTAACACTTAAATCTGGAGGGATTTCTGACAAACCTGCTGGGTTCTGAGATTTGCTCCTGAGTCTCTGGGACCATGGCCATTAAGCAGCTTGCTCAGGAGTCAGAGAGGCCGTTTGTGGGCGATGACTTGGGTTCTCGTTGGGACGGGGAGGAAAGGACCGGCTCCACCCCCATCCTGTGAGGCCAAACATGTCTCATCACTGTGGGCCCAAACCTGACTGTCCAATGGCCTCTGACGGATGGCGGCCACCAAACCACCAAGGGGGAGCAGGCCGAGGGACAGCACCCTTTCCCCTCTGGGGTGGCCCAGAGACAGTAACCTACTGCGGGGTCTGGACGCATTTCTGCCAAAAGCCGCTGGGTTTCGAGATTTTTTTCTGAGTCTCTGGGATCACGGCCGTTAATCAGCTTGATCAGGAGCCAGAGAGGCCGTTTGTGGACTTGGGGTCTCGTTGGGACAGGGAGGAAAGTAACGGCTCCACCCCCATCCCGTGAGGCCCTGAGTTTCTTGTCACTGCGGGTCCAAACCTGACTGTCCAGTGGCCTCTGGAGGATGAGGGCCACTGGACCACCAGGGGGAATAGGCCAAGGCACGAAACCTATTCCCACCTGGCTTGGCCCAGCACCGGTAACCTACTGCAGGGATCGGACGCATTTCTGCCAAAAGCCATTGGGTTTTGAGATTTGTTTCTCAGTCTCTGGGAACATGGCCATTAAGCAATTCAATATGAATCAGAGAGGCCATGCCTCCAATTATATAGCTGAGCCGGAGGTGATTTGTGGGTGTGTCTCCCACATGCCTAGCTTTTGGCCGTTTACTTTCTTGGTAAACTTTGCCCTAAGCTTTTGGGATCTGGCCAAAGGCACAGCAGCAATTTTGGGGTATCTGGAAGTCTGAAGGTGCCATCAGGCTGCTGATGTACTCTCCTCACAGGTACAGACTGACCTGCTGACGGCACCATACCCCCATATTTGGCTTCTTAAACTAAATATTTATTCATGTTTCAAAGGATCAGGGTACAAAAATCAAAGTACTGCAACCATTGTAAGTAAAAAAAAATTATCATCAATAACAATACGTTCAAATTGTGAAGTTAAAATTCACACTGACAACGTATCATTGTCACAAATTAATAGGAAATATGCAATGAAGCATTATATATTTTTGCATGTACAAATCTATAATACAAACCTTAATGTATGTACTAAGGTTTTCTTTTCTCTCTGACATTCAAATCCTTCTCCTTTTGCTTAAAATTCTTTTTGTAAATAATATAGGAGTACTGATATTTATTTAGCCATTGATTAAGCTGATTGAATTGGGATGAATTCCACTTGCTTAAAATTTCTTATCTTTAAAGAAAAGCTTAGGGGCTGGAGAGAGTACAATGGTTAAGGCTTTTGTATACAGCTGATCCAGGTTTGAACCCTGATACTGCATATGGTCTCTTGAGCACTGGCAGGAATAAAAGTGATCCCAGCCCCTCTTGCCAAATAAATTGAAAGAATATTGTTTAGGCAATAACTTCTATATTGGAGCTAAGATTATGATGTGGTTTTTGGAAAATGTCAGATGGCACAAACAGAATATGTACATTCCTGGGATGTGATAGTATTATTCTCTAGTACTTTAGACAGGATTCTTTAGGTGCCTGTGTCTACTAATGGATACTAGACTTAAGAAACTGATAATGCACATTTGAGACTATGCAGAAGAAGATGAATGAGATGTTAAAGCTTCTGGGAACCACGTTAAATAAACAAGTTAAGGGAAACAATAAATTTAGTTTAAAGAGACCAGAAAAAAAAACTACACGCGTTTCAAAGGTTGAAACATGAGTGAGAAAGCAAAAGTGCTTTATGTTGATCCTAGAGCTAGGAACTAGGAGTAGAACAAGGAACAGAGCAACAAATGTCAGCTACGTGTAGAAATATTTCGAATGAGCTATACCATAGTGGAAACATTCCTTGAGAAAAATAAGTCTTTACCCATGAAAGTATTCAAATACAGGCTGGAGTGGTGACTTTACATGGATTTTGGAAAAGATTCCTGCTTCCACAGAGATTGGGCTGGACATCCTTTTCTATCTTAGAATCCAGGGAAAGAGGCCCACTTCTTACACAAAATTTCATTTGCTTGTTTGTTAGAAAAATCTAAAAATTTGGTCAAACTATATGTAAAATGGGCTGGAGCGATAGCACAGCGGGTAAGGCATTTGCCTTGCACGCAGCCAACATGGCCAACCCGAGTTCGATTCTTCCGCTCCTCTCGAAGAGCCCGGCAAGCTACCGAGGGTATCTCACCCGCATGGCAAAGCCTGGCAAGCTACCCGTGACGCATTCGATATGCCAAACACAGTATCAAGTCTCACAATGTTACTGGGCCGGCTCAAGCAAATCGATGAACAATGGGAGGACAGTGACAGTGATATGTAAAACATAGGAAGTTATGTAAAGATATTTATAAACCAGAGGAAGATCTTACTGATACCTCTTTGGGAAGGGAAGTGACAAGGGTTTGGTGGACCATCTCGAGCTGGTGATAGAATCAGGATCTTGCATACAAGACAAGCACTTTAACCCCTGCACTAGTATTTCAGTCCTCATTTCTTTTTTTTAGTGACCTGAGTATTTTATTTTATTTTAGGAGGGTGGGGGCATACCTTGTGGTCTTTAGGGCTTAGTTCTGACTCTGTGCTCAGGTCCTGGCAGTGCTAGGTACCCACATGTGGTGCTGAGTGTGGAACCTGGATCAGCTGCAGGCAGGAATGTCTCCACTCTCTCTAGTATCTCTCCAGCCTGGGAGAACTGAGTTTTTCATGTTTCATGTAAGTGAAACCTCTTTGAGTGCTAAAGCTTTCAATTTTTCTAAAAGTCTGTTCCCCTGCTTTGGTTAAGCTCTGCTACGAAACATAACCTTTGTTAGTGTGAGATCATTAATATGAGCACCTGCCAAGAGCTTAATACAAAAATCCACCCAGGAGTTGTTGAAGTCCAAAACACTGTTTTCCCCTGGCTAATGTGTCTAATGTCTGTGCTTTTAGATTATGTGATATCTACTTCTCCATCGTCCTGTCCTTTCTTTTTTTGTCAGAAAATAGCCTCTAACTAGGCTCTTATCAGTCAAGGGGGAAAGTAAGAAGATGATAACAGGAAGTGGTGCTGGAGTGATAACACAGCGGGTAGGGTATTTGCCTTGCACGCGGCCGACCTGGGGTTCGATTCCCAGCATCCCATGTGGTCCCCTGAGAAACAC